ATTTGCCGATTTTGATCAATTCAATTTGTCGACAGGGCCATATAGTTTGTTTTAATACCCATCCTAATTGCATAATTTACTGACAGGACACGATGTTCCCCACTCAGTAAAATATCTACATCATCCGGCTAAACGTAAACCAATTGCAGTATTTAATGAAAATATCAGTGATGCAAATGTGGTCGATATTTATTATAATAATTATAAAATTGTAACTAATAATATTGGTGTGTCATTCCTGATTTATCAAAGACAACTTAAATTGTGTGAAATGCAATTTAGGTTAAGTGTTAATTGTTCATTATTTCAATCAACTTTATTTGCAATACTACAGTCTTTAGAGTATTGTGTTAATCACATTAGTTGCTCAAATATAATTATACATACTTATAAGTATATTTGATAATTCTATCATGAATTCATTACTTGATTATAATTCAACGTCACACCTAATCTACTCAATTTATAAACAATATTATATTTTATTAGAAAATTCCGTAACTGTTTATATTAAATCTGTTGATAATATGTGTGAAAAGATATTATATGCCAAAATTATTGCTATTACCGGTGCCAATTTAGACACAGTGAATTATAATTTAATGTCAAAAAGTACGGTTAAACGTAGGATTTATGAATACATGTGTGAAATTTGGGAAAATAGGTGGCAATCTACTAAAAAGGGAAGACAAACTAAATTATATTTTCCCAATGTTCAAGATAGATTAAAAGTTAAACGCATATTTAACCATGATTTTTATTTATGCCAGGCTCTTACTAACAATGGTAATAATAATTATTACTTAAATCGTTTTCATCTAAAAGATACCCAGACTTGTGATAAATGCGGACACGATTCTGATGATACCAATCATAGAATTTTCGATTGCAGTGAATATGTATCACAACGCGAGGACTTACGGGTGGCCGTTATCAATGCCAGTCTCAATTGGCGCCCACCTCTCAGTGCTTTTATGTCATCTAATTTGCTCATATTTTATTACATTTTGTAAAATTATATATTCATAGTTCATTTTAATTTCAATTTTAATTATAGTTAATTATTGTTTTACTACTTTGTAATAGAGCTTCCCTTATGATACTTTTGTGGTATAAGGGTGGCGAATTTATTTGATTAATAAAGATCCATTTATTTCATTTAAAAAAACTCTTAATTAGTTTCAATCCCTATGTATATCTGGTCAGACTGAGTGTAGAGTTGCACCGGTAGTTTGATTCCCACTTCATATGTAAAGCCATTACCGATACTATTAATTAAAATAAAGATATCTTAAAAGTTTAATTAAGTTTTAATTTTTTTAATCCATTTAATTACATTTAGACATTAGTGGACTTGGTTATATGTATATAAAAAGTAAATATCATAAAATATATTACTGTACAGACAATATTATAAAATTCAAAATTAATTATAAACATATACAAACCTGGTGTTTATTGGAATCAACCATAAAACCTTTTTATAGCCAAATACTTGACAAAAATTATGATACTTCCCTTGATCATAGCCATTATTGTTAGTCCCGGCCAGGAATACCGGCTTTTGGAAAGACTCTAAAGTGTCAGGGTGGAATAAACTTGATAAAATGAGAATATGTAGAATATGTCGTACAAACCTATTGTAGACGTGTTGTGTATAATAAGTATGATGTGATAACCCAATAGACCGGACAAAGACATGGCAAACATGAAGGACACCGCGAATAGCATTAATATAATATATTTTCCCGATTCCGGTAATTCGTTCTGTCAATTAGCAGATAATAATATTAGCCAGATAATAATCATGATAATAATCAATGGGATGAGTGAGAGGGGACACTGGGTGTTATGGGGTGGTGTGTCATATATACATACATACATACATATACATACATACCGTCCAAAACTTAAGAAAATAGGGAAACGAAGTGACGACAGAAAACCAGCACATTATTAGAGCGTATCCCAGAAGTTGAATAAAATATTTGTAGTTTGCAAACGAAATACAGTTGTTCACCCTATTTGTCAATGAGTCATACAAAAACATAAATTCATATTATGTGATTTTAAGCATGGTAACATTCATTTATGTCTGCACGTTTAATAAACAATGATCATGGTGATTTTAGTGAAAAGCGTGACAAACCAGGGGCAGTGGTGGTCCATCTTAAGTGTGCACTGTTGGCATACCCGGCAGTGATGGGCTCTGTCCGGCTTAATGAGCCAACAAATGGCGCAAATCCGGTACATCTGGTCACCCGTCCGGCACTGGACCGGAAGGTTGTGTTCAGAGGCGTACCGCTCGCCGAGACGTCGACGACCCTCGCAGTCCGTCTGCAGTAATATCGTCTCCTTTTCTTCGGACGAAAACCAAAACTGTTATACAAGACATTCATACTGTTTATTAAACACCCGGTGCTCACCGCAAATGAGATATATATATATACTATACATGTACCATACATATACATGTATATATACTATGGGTTAAATATTTGGCCAAAACCTTCAGATCGCAATTAATAGCTAGTATTTAAGCTAGCTTGTATACACTATACATATTTTAGCTATATACATACTTGTTCAGGCACATTTGGGCTCTCCGTGAATATGGTCTGCCAATAGCACCACAAACTACACACAC